CATGGTTAACTATACCTATCACTGGGTTGGTAAAGGCCCCTTTTCCCATGCAACGTATAAATAACTTATGGAATTCACTACCACAAGATAAGGTGAGGGCCACTAACTTAGCATTAAAATAAGAGAGTAGCCCATATTGACAGAAAACAGGTCTATCAACAGCTAACTAAACTGAGTGTCCACATACAGATGCAGTATACCCTTGAGCATCAGAGGATTATCAGAAGAATCCATCTGGCATTGGGCTGGAACAGTATGCTAGAGTTTATTAACATTGGTCTGATCCAGCAGCAGCACATGATGGTATGATCCGGGAGTGGAATTATGTTTCTTGCCCATGGTGTTAGCAATTTTTTATACACAATGTTTTACTTTAAACCTTGTAACAAGGATCATACTAAAATACTCAGGTTGCGTCGCCTGCAGTGTTTCATTGGAATGCATTACTGTCTCTCTCTCCCTGTTTTGGCCAGAGAGACAATCTTTGGATTTGCACCTGGGAGCTGACAACAGAATCAGAAAATGACCCTTTCCTTTTTACCAGAAATTGGTATGTTCGCTCCCCAAGGTTCTCTCTTCAAGCATATGTTGACCACCAGCAATGCACTCACCTTTAAAATTTCTTCAACACAATGGACTTCATTGGAGAAGGATTGCTGAAATACATCAAGAAAAAAATAGTGTGATTATTCTGAGGACTGACGGCAGATTCTAGAGCAGGAGTATAAACAAAACAGAACTGCTGAAACAGGTATTTTATGTGCCCTGTAGGATGTTTTAAAAAAAACCCAAAAAACTTTGCACATGAACGGTTGTGTGTTCTAATGAGAAAAACCTTCCCAGATAAACCACATCCCCAATCCACTGGAAATCTACAGTGGGTGGATCTATACCCATCCATCAGCCAAAAATTAAGGATGCTATTTGGCCAGATGAAGTTGTGAACCTTCCAACACTCCCCCCGCCCCACCCCCCAAGTAACGCTCCTAGCATCTGGCGAGTGCCTCATTTTCAAGCCAAGTAGCAGGTCCAGCCCTGGAGCTGCATCCTAAGAATAAGGCCCTACATCATGCCTTCTCTGTAGTTATCTCTTTTTGCCTCTTGTCAGGATGCACACACAAAGTAAACCACTATCACAGGAGGCTGCCCCTCCAAGGAATAGCCGCTGGTGTGAACACCGCTGAAATCCCTCTCCTCTTCTCTTCAAGATCTTACGGTCACACCCACTGCTTTGTTACAGAAATTCACCTTTGTCCACCACACCCACACACAAGGCCTGAATGCTTTCTTGTGGGTGAAGTAATTCTCATTCCCCTGTTGAGGCGGAGAAGGCAAGTCTCAGCTAGGATTCAGCATGTTAGTCCAACGTTTAAACAGGCGTTTTAACACCCAGCGGTAAACTGTTATGCAGTGGAGGACCAGTGCTCGGGAGGAAAAGGAATAAAAGCAGTGTCCCCACAATAAAGTTTAGGGAAGAAACAGCAAGTAACCAATGAGATCCAACCGGACCCTGAATTGAGAGCTCCAATGTGACATTACCCAAAGGTTTGGTGGATTCTTTATGAATCAATATGCAAAATTCAGAGATCGCCACACAAGTCTAGCTTCTCTGGTCCAAATTGCTTGGTCTCTTGTCTCCTCCCTTCCCAGCAATCAATACACAGTCACTTCTCTGCACAAGGTTTCCTCCCTGCTCTCTTTACATCCTGGATCCTTACTTCAACTTCCTATTCCTCTTCTACATAGCCCCCCCCCCAAAAAAAAACCTGGTGTTCCTGTTCTACCAGTCTCTAGACTGTGAGCATCTAACTGAGCTTCCTTCACATTCGGTAAGCTAGTTGTTAACCATGTGTGCCAGATTTTGCTTGAACGTTCCATGGCATCATATCAGCTCAGCCAATGGCTAGAAAGGGCTTCCACATGGCAGGCAGCCATCAACCTGTCTTTTTGAATCCTACAACTATATAATTCTGCTTTATCTCCCTTCGTAGCAGTTTTGCATCCCTTGAAGAAAGCAGTAAAGACCACCGTGGTATATTTTCAGATGGCCAGCGCGAACAGCAGTCATACAGAACTTCTAACAAGGGACAGGGAAGAAAACAGACAAACACATGCATGCCAAGTTCAGCCTGCTGAAATGCAACCCAACTTTAGCCTCTGGCCTGGGCCTACAAAGAATGCAGATCCAAATCCCATTACAATGCAATGCGTGTGCAGATGTATCCCAAAATGCCAATTACATCAAACTCGCTCCTTCACAGGATGGCAAACCACATAGTTTCTTCAATATATTTAAACTTTTCAATCCTCCTCCCCTTTAGAGTAGAAGACACAGTTTCAGCCACCACTTCAAGCAGAAGATGGACTGTCGACTTCTCTCCATAACCCCCCAGAGACAACCTTGGCTGTCTCTGATTCTTTGCTCCTGTGTTTCCAGGCCATGAAGCTTCTTCCTGGACAGCTTTGGAAAATCCATCCATTTCTCTCCACTATGTGAGCTGCACCCTTCTTTTCTTGTGGGGAGAGGCTCAGTGTCAGAGCACCTTGCTTGGCATGAAGGAAATCCCGGGTTCAATCCCCAGCCTCTCTGGTTAAAAGGATCAAGTGGGAGATGATGTGAAAGTCCTGAGACCCCAGAGAGCAGCCGCCTGCCTGAGTAGACAATAACGATCTTGATAGATCAATTGTCTGATTCAGTATAAGGCAGCTTCATGTGTGTTATCTGGTCTCTCTCTTTCAATCCCTCAACTCTATCTGTTCTCTGCTCGCTCTTGCTCTCAATCCCTCAATTGTGTCCAAAACCAGTCTCCTCACCCAATGCTCAGATGGCCCGCCTCAAAATCCCTTCACCCTTTTCCTTTTTTAAAAAAAATGTTATTATTATACTTTTGTACAATACACATAACGCAATAAACACAACCAGGAAAAACGGGGGTGGGTGTAGACCACAGAAAGATAAGAATTATGACAACTGTATGAATACATGTTATAACTGTACCATGACAATCCCGGGAATTAACTTTATTTACTATGTTTACTCTACATTTGCTCTTTACTCTATGGCTAATCTGGTGGACCAATCGAACCTTAGTGCACAGTGTTTGGGGCTAGTGTGGTAGAGACCGAACAATTGGGGAAATGAGACTTTGTGTTAAATTAGTTGGAGGATTGGGATTAGTGGCAGTTTACAAGAACAACCGACTGTGATAACGGGGGTTTGAGGGAAGTATTTCGTGATCTGTCATATACTTTATAACTGGTGCCCAAAGCCTTGTGAACTTCACATTTGGTGTGGTGTTTGGGTCCCTCGGTTTAGGTCTGCTATTTTCGCCATGACGAACTGTTCCCAGAGCTTGTCATGCCACACGGTAAGCGATGGGGGCCCTTCACCCTTTTCCCATCCCCATCTGCATCCACTGCAAGCTTCTTGTCCTTACCCTCAAAGCTCTTCATGACCTTGCTTTGTCTCATCTCCCAACCTGTGCTCCTGCAGACCCACCATCGTCAATGCCCCATAGGGTCTCTCTGTTCTCCATCACGATTCTTTGCCATCCCCCATGCATGGTACACTTCTCTCCCTTTTTTCTAAAACTCTCTTCAAAATCTACATATGGCCTTCAGCTAAAGCCGTTAATACAGGGGTGTCAAACATGCAGCCCGGGGGCCAGATCAGGCCCCCGGAGGGCTTCTATCAGGCTCTCAGTGGAACTGGCTGTCTTCTACTACTTCTTCCAGTTCTGCTGCATCATCATAGGTTTGCAGCTTACAGATACACACCTGAACAGCATATTCAAGATTGCAACAGCACAGACTTTTTGATGCAATAACTCAGAGCAAGAGGTGTCAGTTATCAGACACTGTTAAATAAACAAAATATTGCAGAGAGTGCTGATGTTTTAAGCATGTTTTTATTTTAAGTATAAAAACCCTTTGTGTTCGTGTCCTTTATAAAGTTTATATCTCCGCTACCTGGCATTACATTTTATGGCACACATGGTGCGGCCGAACAAGGTCTCATTTATGTCAGATCCGGCCCCCATAACAAATGAGTTCGACACCTTTGCCTTAATACTTATTCCCATCTGGTAACTAAGTTTTGCCCTGACTTGGTCGGTTTAAACTAGCCTGACCTTGTCAGATCTTGGAAGCTAAGCAGGGTCAGCCCTGATTAATACTTGGATGGGAGGCCACCAAGGGAGTCTTATGGTCGCTACGTGAAGGCAAGGCAATGGCATCCCACTTCTGTTCATCTCTTGCCTTGAATATTTATTTATTTTATATTCCGCCCTCCTGCACAAGTGGGCTCAGGGCGGGTCATAACAGGTCATTTCATAGTAAAAACAATATTAAAATATACAATTTAAATCCAATTTAAAACCAATTCAGAATAAGATGGCAGGCCGGTTCGTGGGAGTCCAGAGTGCCTCCTGCATGGGTGGTGGCTTGATGGTCAATAAGGCATCCAATTCACCAGAAGATGCTGTGCAGATCTCTTTGGCACTGCAGGGCCATTAAACAAGGCCGTATGAGCAGGGGAGGCCGAAATGGTTGGATGTCTGCCGTCTCAGCCGAAGGCCTGATGTTTTGCATCCCCCAGGACCCTGATCTCAAGCAGGAGTGTACTGGTGACAGCCCATCCCAGACCCCTGGATCAGCTGGGTGTGGGGGTGCATATACCCTACAGGGGCACTATAAGTTTGTCCTAACTTAATGGCACCTCCCATCGACCAAGTTTTAAACACAGATAAGTATATTTTCCTTCTCTCTTGCTACCCTCATTTTACCTATTTGAGATTTTAAGCTCCTTGAGAACAGAGTCTGGAGCTGAACATATATTTAGGGGCTCCACAGACACAGGCAGGGATGGTGCTGCATATGTATTAAATAAACACTAAAATTAATTAAAGCTGTTTAATGGCATTTGCAAGGCAATGGGATGCTAACGAAAACGGGCCTCCCAAAACCTGAGCTGCTAAGACCAGCATTCCATGCAAACCCTGAGCTCCTTTGCAACTTTGGGACACAACGGGCTGCTGCCCAAATTCAGTCAACACATCGTACAAGTGTAACTTGGCTTCCTCCTTGCCAAGAGAGACACCCGGGGTAAGAATTTACAGGCAGCACGCAAGAAAGGTTTAAGCTCTGTTGTTCAGCCTTGAAGTACAGGCACCGCAAAACACCAGTGTCGCTTTTAGCATACATTCAGAGATAAAGTCCAACTAAAAGCAAACAGGGAAATGTATGCTTTGAAACAAGGCCAAGTTACCCCATCCCAGGTCAAGTAGCATGGGCATACCCTCGCTGCCCTCTTTTCAATTTTCAACTGTTGACAGATATGTTTATATAAAATTACTCAAGCGCTTTTTAGGGGAACTCAGCCTAGAATGTTCAGCAAAGCAGGTATAGTGATATTTGTGATCATGGCAGAGATCCAAAAGTATACCTGGAGGCAGTAGGAAGTGCTGTCAAGTCATAGCTGACCAGTGATGTTCAGATGTGGTTTGCCACTGCCTGCCTCTGCACTGCAACTCTAGGCTTCCTTGGTGGTCTCCCCATCGAAATACTAACCGGGGGTCGACCCTGGTTAGCTTCTGAGATCTGTCAAATTGGGCCAGCCTGGTTCTATCCAAACGTATATTTGGTTCTTTACAATTTT